CTTTAGGTTATCCAATTCAGTCGATATTTCTTCGTAACATCTTATTACCAACCTTGGGCGAGTCAGGTAAATTGGATCTCCAAAAATAAAGTATATCTAGTTTCCCCTTTCAGAAAATTTTGTTTTGTTAATAAAAGAAGGATATTTACAAACAGAGTTTGAACGCAAACGAGACATCAATAATTGTATTGTATATTGCAATTTAACTCTACATTTCTTTTAATTATCTCCCTAACCGTTAGGCATACTAATACTTCGATATTATACATTATTTTTTTAACCTCTACAAAATGGTTTCAGAAGGATTTGTAAAATTTTGTGTTTTGATGTAAGAAAACTTAAAAAAATGTTACCTTATAAAACCCTGTTCAATTAGTCCGATCATACTGGTTTGTGAAATCGTTCGAATAAACGTAGGTTTCCACGTTTGCTCCAAATTAGATCCTTTTTACTCAAGTTATTGCGCTAACGTACACATACTTAAATATATATATAGGTACAGTATATATATATCTGAATTTGAACGGATGGTGTTTTTGCCTCTGGTACCTCAAAACTAAAAAGGTTATTGGTCCCGGGAGGCTTACCATAAGACCTACAGTAATAGCTTAATCCCTATATGGGAAATTTGCTAAAATGTATATACTTATTTCTAAGTGCTGTAAATTATTATTTTTACTGCAGTTATGAAAACTCCATAATGATGAAAATAATTTTTAAATAGATAATACTAAGCAAATTTCTGACACAGAAAATTTATTGCCAGAAGATATTTCTCGTTGCATATCACTTCTTAAGTTAAGTTGCATTAGTTATGTTTGATATTGAGCTAAATAATTTTAGTCTTTCGTAATAATGGGTTGTAAGAGCATACCCCAATGAAGTTCAATGGAATTTCGTAGTATTGTAACTGAAGGAGTGAACACGATACCTACGGCCTACGATGATGTTCTAACATAGACAAATACCCTGTTATTATTCGAACTGCCTAATGAAATTTAAGTAATTTAGTATTATTGTTACAACCGCTCAGGTACCAAAAAACAGGACTTTATACATAAAGACTGTAAATTATTTTAAAGGGAGAAATCTGAAGCTCTCAAATTTGTGTAGGTGGGAATGAAAATTTTAATACCAAAGTCCGTAGCACTAACGTTACAAATGTGCCAAATTCTTTTGCCTAAAAGTTATAACACAAAACAGCTGTATTCCTTATCTCAATGGCTTTCATGTTATGACATACAAATTTAAGTTTACTCTACATATCGTATCATATTCAAACGTGGTTTTGGGAGAGCTTTCGCACTCTATAATTTAGTTTTATTTTTTTACCCATTTGTTTCTATTAAACTAACCGGATACAAAATTACTTTGAACAATCTACTACTCACTATAAAATCACCTCTTAGACACATCATCAAACAAATTAACAGGGTTGCTTTCCAGCTTCTCAAGTTTAAAGCAAACTTGTGATTACGAAACTCGATTCAACTTTTACGTTGATTTTGACGGATAAGGGGATGTCAGCAGCAGATAATATTGTTGGATTTAAGTGTAAATTACTTTTTAAACAGCTAGTAGATTTATATCAAGTGGGGATTTTACTCAACTGGACAGTTCGATGAAAATACATTAATTGTTTAAATAGTTTTTTTTTTTTTTTATTATTATTGTATAGTTACCTCCAGCTAGATGTAGTAAAAACTGTGCGCTAAACTTCAGAGAAGAGCAATATCGACTCTACTAAAGTAATGATGGCCAAGTCTATATTGGGTTTCAACAACACATTAGCAAACTTTTGATCCTTTTATAACTCACACAGCATAGTTTGCTTGATTGTTTTCCCTAGGTATTTGGAAGATAAAGAAACAATGGTACTGTCCATTGTTTTTTTTTTGTTTATAATTATTTAAATACCTATTTAAAAATAGCCTTTATGTTTAATGAGGTATATATTTGCTTTAAAAAAAACTTGCTAAACTAGGTTGAAAATTTTAGGTCAACACAAGCTCTTATGGCTTAATTTCACAGACTATAATTTATGGATACAAAAGAAAAGACTGCTTATTACTTCAGCAAAATAAGGGGTAAACACATTATTTTGTCTATGTAACCTAAGGTTTTTGAAATGTCTGTCTTAATTCGTCTTCAATCGTTTGTCAGATGTAATAAAGGTTACTTTAGTTGTGAGACGAAGTCTCTGGTTTGGAAGTTTTTGAATGACATGATCCCCCTTGAGGGCTCGTAGAGTATCAAGAAATGTGTTTACATTAATGGGTAAATATTAAATATATTCTTTATTTATTTTATATTTGAATAGCGTTACACTTACCTGTTATTGAAAACTACGACGATATTATTAAAACGAATGAATAAGTCACTATGCAGAAATGTTTTTTTTCAAATAACTCATTAAGAGTTCGAATAATGGTTTATTAGGATGGATCGTTATATTTTCTAGTACAAATATTACTGATAGAAAAATATAAATAGAACTTTCCATAACTTTTTAGATATGGTGGTGACCGAATGCTTTAGCCCTTTTTTAGGTCACATCCTAAAATTATAACGTGTATCCATCATAGTAACAATGGTTTATCAGTACTTATATTGAAGAGTTAGGATCGTTGAAGAAATTATACTGACAGATGACTAGAGGACGTTTGCCGTTTCTTTACAACAAATCCATGATAAATTACTTAATTATGCTAGTATCCCAGGAAACAAATGAGGCCATTTAGGACCCCGTTCAGCAGACATGCTCAGCATTTAGCAGTATTAGGGGATTCTTTTTATTGAGATAAATTACATCGAGGGGGCATCATTTAACATAGACATTGTAAGTTTCTTACTCGCAAACGGCTGCGAAAGGTTTTAATTTTGGCTTAACTTCTGGAAATAGTATGTCTACTTGCAGTCCTTGCTCACCTTGGAATTGATGTGTTAAGTGCAGTTTATAAAATGGAAATGTTGTGTATATTTTATTTTAACTCGATCACATTTTTAAGCTTGATTGACCAACCTGGTCTGGTATTCCTTCAACATGAGCTCATTAGCTGTAAAATTGAATACAAGAATAACACAACTTAAGTTTTACCATTTAAACTATCTATGCAAATACGAGAAAAAAATATTTTTAACATGTGATACAACCTACGAGTTTGTAACGGCTACGTTTTGCTTTAACTTAATCAATGTACATCAACCTATAATAGAGTCTTAACTAAATCATAGGTACCTAATTACAGGCCAATGGATAATTAGAATCTATGATCGAGCAGTCTAAGGTGAGACATCGTCATTAACTGTCTCCGTTATGTAAAATTAAAAAATTAAAAAGAGCAAGCCATGGTTTTTAAATAGTTAATCCATTGACTATGGACACGCTACTGTGATATTCGTTAAAATCCTATCTTAAAATTGAAACTAGTTTTACAAAGAAAAATATTTAATCCGGGTATCATTCAAGTTGTCATCAGTAATTAGTTTATATTGTTCGTGGATAAATGTTGTTGAAAAATGATATTGTCTCAGCATGATAAACCGAAAGTGCAAATATTTAACTATAGACATATGAGTTTAGATTATATATCAATCTTTCTACCTACTATCATAGATTAAAGAGTACATACTTCACGTAATGCTAAAATGTGTTAACACTTTTTGGGCCAAAAAAGCAACTAAAAAAGCAACCTACTTATGTAGAAAAGGTTAATGAGTCATTTAAATTAATTCTACAGTTTTTACTTTTATTAATTTTCAACACATAACTAATTTACAACCTAATGAATCTTTCCATGCTACAATATTAATCTAAAAACAAAATTTAATGTAGAATTAAAACTTATAATAAAATTCTACATATGACAAGGTATTATACATTTTAGTTATTATTTTACAAGTTCACTAAAACATAATTAATATGTAGTTTTTCCTCTTGTCATTTGTTAACTCAAACTAAAGACACTAGTGGTGGTAATGTAATGTTATATAAAATTCAGTACATATATTAACGATTGTGTATCCAAATCACTTAATGTCAAACCCATGTATATTTATGTTAAAGATGAAAAACACAGAAAAGACCTTGTATGGAAAATGTTCGTCAACTAAGATCATGGACGTTTTTCTATCAATCATAATATAATTTGTTTAACGAAATGGTAAAGCATAGCTTAGCTGTAGTATTCGAAGTAGCAAAGCAGTTAACGTCCTGCTGCCTGTAACTTCGGGGATTATACTAATAAGACTTTCATTAATTTATATACAATTTTAAAAATAAAACATGTAAAAAAAGAAGTCACAAGAGTTGTAGTATTACGCTTATCCTTAATATTTTATAAACGAATCGTCAAAATATCACAATACACATAAATTACGTAAATAATTGCATCTTTACAGTTTTTGCTTTTAACCTACGGTTACACCTGAGAGCAAAATCAAATCCTCCTCAGTCATCTCATCTTTTGATGGTGGTATAAAAACCCGAAACCTAGTTGTAGCAAAAAAAAAGTCACGTAACCCTTTGACACATTAACATAAAAAAACTGCGGATTTGGGAACGGGAGGTTTTATGGGGTAAAAATGGGGTTTTCTCATTCTTTAAACATCTCATTATTCTCTTTCTTAAAAAAAAAACTCATTTCTTAAAACACAAAACTTTTATATTTATCTCTAGACCTTTTTAAAGAACTTAAAACCCCAAATAATTTAGTATATCAAATTGTTTTTGTATGGTGATTGGTTACGGAGAAAATACCAAAAGTTGTTAATTTAAAATTCCCATGTTATTATTATGGGGAATATTGTAAAATGTTTTAGTTGACTTGTTTATGGATATATTTTGATCAAACTTGGCAGATTTATTTATTTTATACTAAGCTATTATCATCTTAATGAAATACACAATTTATTAGTTTCCCTGTAGCTGCAAACCTATGTACTCGTTAAACATAAATGTTAATTTAATAAATTAATTTAAAATCAATCCAGGAAAATGGAAATTCGCTTAGTCGGCAGGTTTGCTGCAGCGGTGATATTTTGTTTTTAAATTGTTTTATATAGCAAATTGTATGTTGCATTCAGTGGTTCACTTGCACATTGATAAATCATATAAATGTGTAAAATAATTATCTAAAGTGTAATTAAAGAGCAGTTAAATAATCGTACCTCGTTCTTAATAAAATAAAAGTTTGCTTTCCTCCAAAAAAAGGTGCGATTAAGAAAGTTTTCGTTTTTGTCTTAACTTAAGTCTTAATAAAGTTGTCTTCGTCTTGCAATGTCTGAACGTCTGTCCTTGACAACGTTCAACATTCATGTCCAACATGAATACATTTGTTAATATCTTAGAAAACGGCTTGAGGTACAATGCACCACTTACCATATTTTAAATTTACACGTACTATACATAGAGGAAGAAACTAAAAAGATGTTTGATGTGATTTGACATTTTTCTTTATTTGAATGGAAGTTAAATATCAATTATAATGGCTGAATAATAAGAAAATAAAATCAAAACTGAGAAATATTATACATACACAACTTATAATATTAACTTGACATACATACATAGATATACATATATAAATATATATTAATATATGCACATATAAATATATCGAATAAACTGTATGCGTAGGATCTAGTTTAGGCATTAGATTCTCATCAATAGATTTAAATTTTTTCACATACAAATTGTTTAGCCCAGTCACATTTGAAGTTAACAAAACCAAAAGAGAAAGCTGCCAAGCAGTGGTAAGAATCATCGTCAGGCTTACCATGCGCCCAATGATATGAAACTTGTTGTCCAGTTGATATCCATACGAAATTCGGATATTGGTCAAATTCATGGCCACCAACCCATACTGAATTTATCTCTGTATATTCTGTAAACATTAAAGATATTATATCCTATTGTGGAAAACAAAATAAATGGTATCTGCAAACCATAAATATCATACAGCATCATCTGACTCATAGGAGGCCGTCCCCCTTAGAAGTTGCTTATGCATTAAAAATTAACAATAACCCCACCGCAGCAAACCTGGAGTCTAAGCGAATTTCAACTTGTTTGATTACATTTTTACTAAAATATTTTCATAAATAAGACACATTTATTCCCAATTTAAATAACATTAGATTTAACGAGTTCTTAGGTTTCATGCTACGGGGAAGGTAAAACGTGTATTTTGACCATAGGTCAATAGTACTGGTATAGGATGAAATAAATAGATTTGCCTAATTTTATCAACATATATCGTTAAACAAGTAAACTACAACAAATTTCATTTTCCCCTTAAGAATAACATGGGAATTTTTAATTACCTTTTTTTTTAATTTTCTCTGTGACTGTTAGGGGTACAACAGCGCTTCAATATACTAAATTATTTATTTTTTAAGCTCTACAAAGAATGAAAGCTTATGGTTTATAAAGAAATTGCAAAATCTTTGTTTTTAGGGTCTATAAAACCCCCTAAACCCCTGTTCCCGATTGTGTTGGTTCGCGAACTCGTTCAAATAAATGTAGGTTTACACGTTTGTACCAAATGTAATCAAAATCGGATTATATTTGCTCGAGTTATCGCGTTAACGGACACACACACACACACACACACACACACACACACACACACACACACACACACACACACACACACACACACATATATATGTATATATGTATGTATGTATGTGCACATATATATGTATATTATATTTGATATTGTTCACGTGTAGGGCTACTGTAATTAATATTGATAAATAATACACCATATCACCCTTTTATTAATTATTTTTAATGACTGATGCATTTTAACACTAAGGACATGGTCACAGTCTTTCACAATTTTATTAAATATCTTATTTAAATTATTTATTTAATAACATTGTGAAAGACTGTGACCATGGCCTTAGAGTTGAAATGCATCAGTCATTAAAAATAATTAAAAAAAGTTTCTATGGTGTATTATTTACTTATATATATAAATATATTTGAACGGATGAGGTTTTTGGCGTCTGGGGACCTCAAAACGAAAAAGTAAATCGGTCCCGGGTCTAGGCCTTACCATGAGACCTACGGTATAGCTTATTCCCTATATGGGAAATTCGTTAAAAACAATAGTGCTGCACTCTGTTGCTAAACGTTGTAGCTTTTTAATGCTATTGAACATCATAGATAGATAGAACCAACTTGTTTAGTTGAAACAGCTATTCATTCCTTTAAAATATGAATACTCATAAGGTTAACATGAAAAACTCCAGAGCCACTGGAGCGGAGCCCGAAAGGATTTTTGAGATAAGAATATGCCTATATGTTAATCGGGATTGTGAGCTATCATCATGCCAAATTTCAGCCTAATCCTACCATTGGAAAAATGCGTGATTGAAACTTAAACAAACAAACACACAAACAAAACACAAACTTTCATATTTATAATATTTGCCCGTCGGCTCACCTGACACACTTTTAGGGTTTTTTTACAGCTATAACCCCGCTAAAGTTGTAACTTCGCTACGGAACTACTCTATCTGAAACAGCCTACATTAGGTTTTTACCAAAAATACTATTCCTGTTCTGTTTCCTTTCACTTAACTTTTAGGGTAATTATACCCTAAAACAAAATTGCCCTAAAGTCCAGCTGGTTTCCTCATTAACCCTTTAAAAAGTATTAGATAACCTATCTTAAAGTAGCATTAACCTTTCTTTTGTGACACTATGTTTTCTGTCTCTGTATTGGCATGCTTCTGATTTGATAGTATTGTTGAATTTTGCCATCCCTTATTTTAAAATTTCTTGGGCTACCAATATTGCATTTAACCATTTTTACCTTAGTTTATGTAGGCAGTTTTGGCTACGTATCTTATTATTTGTTTTTTAAGAGACTGTTTATTTTAGGGAAAGGAGGGAAATGCTTTTACGCACACAGGTAGCAAGCCTGCATTGTGAGACTCCTGAATTTATCAGACTGCTCACTAAAAAAACCCTCTACTCTGTTGGATACAGAACTGGAATTGTTTGTCGTACATTACTTCAACTCAGGCCAACGTGTGACCTAAGCCATCAGGGCTCGCTCTGTTTCTGGCATTAAGATTTTTTATGACCTACACCGCATCCCGGTCAAGGTCGAGCTTCTTGGCACGGAGAATAGCCTTAATGTAATGTGACACACAGGTCCAATTGTCCTCACCCTCCGTCATCATCGGTATGACCGTGGCCACTGACAGCAGTCCTACTAACTGTTGAGCCTCCAGGCGGGGCCTTTCCCAACGCTGGCAGTGGAAAAAAGTATGTTCTATGTCATTGGTAATGCCTGGGCAGTATATGCAATCGGGTGACACGGCTTTGCCCATCCTGAACAGGTTCGACCGGAAAATGCCGTGACCCTTCAAAAAATTGGGTGAGGTTAGTTAGACGTTCACCTCTCCGCACCACCTATTAACCCAGGTTCGGACTTGCTGTATAATTTATCTGGTCTAGCGTCCCCGTGTCTCCTGTTCCCAGCTCTCCTGCCACAGCTGGTAGGTGCGGGTGTGTTCCTCTGTTCGTGCCTGGTCCTCTCCACGTGCTGATAAATTGCCTTTCTCTCCGCCACCAAAAGTTTGACGGGGATGATTCCAGTAACCACCAGGACGACGGGTTCGGACACTGTTCGGTAGGCGGATCCTGACGCTGCACTCGGGCGAGCCGCATCCTATATACCTCCTTATTGAGAGCGTCTGACCACACCTCAGCACCGTACAAGAGTACGGACTAGACCGAAGACATTAACAGCCTTCTACGACTGCACCAAGGCCCTCTGACATTGGCCATCAACCTATTAAGGTCGATTCACACACATCAGTTACGGCACGTCACAGTAAAGTCACTTCAGGCACGTCACAGTTAACAAAAATATTCTTTGATGGATTTTCTATTGCGCTATCTACACTCATCCGTTGCAGTCCCGTCAGTCACTCTGCTGGCATCCGTCAGTCAATTTCAGATTTCTTTCCAACGATACTTTTTGATTGTTCGGACGCCTGACGGAACTGTTTGAGGTTAGAAAATAGTGTTATTGTTATTTAAATGGTTGCGTTTGTATTTTGAGTACTGTTTGTAACAATCAACAAGATGGACAATGATAATTTGATAGAATATAGGTTTATAACTTTAAAATTTTGACTATAAATTACTGTGAATTTTAGAGACGGAAGACTGACTGAAACCAACTGACGGACAATTGACTGATAAATTGCGGATGCAACTGTGACTGGACTGTAACTGGACTGTAACGGAACTGTGACTGGACTGATGTGTGTGAATCGACCTTTAAGAGTAGAAACCACCCTAGCGGCCTTGTCCGCCGTACGGAACATCTGATCCCGCCAGCTAAGCTTGCTGTCCACCATGACCTTAAGGTACCCAAGGTAGGAAAAGATTGCAACACATTATTGCAAAATAAATAAATAGTTTGTTTTGACATGAGAAAAATGTAAACAAAACATCTGATCGGCTGTTATGATCTTATCTTGGTTAAAATCTGTTGGGAATAGGCTGAATGCACAGGTGTGCTATAATTTATCCCTGTATCAACATTTAACGAAATCTATAAATAATGTTTACGAAATATTTTACAACAGTTTGGCTAACTGTAAACCTACTAGGTACTAAAATAAAGTTTTAGAATTAAAAATTTAAATTTTTTTAGGTTACGGCTTTTATTCGGTACGTATTTCGGAAGAACTAGCATTAGCAATAACTCATAAAATGTAATAAAGTCCGTACTTTAAGCACTTACAACATGTTTTAACAGCTTTTTTATTGATTTATGTATTTTTATAACGTAAAATATACTGCTTTGTAATGGAAACTTTGTAATCGTGGTAAAATGGCTACTGCCTAATTTTAAGGTGCCAACATAAGTAAAAAGTCAGTTTTTACTGTTTTAACTTTAAACTGATTTTACTTGAAAACCATCTGAGATAGAAAGGAACTGGGAATACAAAATTTGTAGATAATCTTATCCCACACTGACAATTTTCCCTCATATTTAAGATTGAAGCCTTGGTTCAGCTCATACAGACCAAATTTAAAGTCTTGCATGGTTAAATTTCACCAGAAATAGCCCTAACCCCCCCCCTAAACCCCTCTTAAATTTAGGATTTCCAAAACCCCCTCTTATTGCACAGCAACAGCATACAAGAGATATCCATGCCAAATATGATCATCCTAGGCCTTAAATGTTTTGAGATATATAGTCATACATCTGTCAGTGAGTCGTATTTTCGTTTTATTTACAAAGTGTTTTTTTTCAACTCGCAACCCAAATTAAAGTAACTGTGAGACACATTTTAATGACGAAACAACCATATGTGTTGGTATTCCTGTTTTCTTTACTTCATTTCTGATCAGCTGATATGCGTTGTTAAATTTATTGTAATCAAGACACAAAACTGCGTTTCCCCAATCTCGAAGAGGTAGAATAATAAGTAAATCATAGATTTTATACATAGAAAGGGTTAAATTGAGTTTCCAGGTGTGATTCCAGTACCTAATAAACTACCTATTATTGACGTATAAAATTTTAAGAAAACCGAATCGGAATTAAAGGAAAACTTTAATTTCTAAATTTTAGCGAAAATCAAATCAAGCAAAAGGAAATTCGCTTAGTCTGCTGGTTTGCTGTGACAGGGGTATTTTTGGTTTACAACTGATTCGGTTTCTTTAAATTAGTATTGACATTTCCAAATTTAATAAATAAACTTTTTGGGTCCAGAGGGTGTACATAGTATACGTAGCTATTAAAGAATACATAGTTTACATTTTTCCATATGATATGTATAGGGAGGGGAAGTAAAATTCGTTTCGACAACTGCATGAATAATGTTGTTACTGGCATACTGTCATAATAAGTGCAATGATTGAGTGTGATGAGTTTAATAAGCTACTTACCCCTGAGGGTGTCAACAAAGTCGTTCCATTCATCATTACTTTCGATTGTCGCTAGTTTCATTCCACGATAATTGCAATCCTTAAGGGCGTCCAACCAACTTTTCTGTAACATATAAATGGACTATCATCTATTTACAGGTTGAATCACTTCAAAAAGATTTCTTGTATTTCCCCCCTTAGTACGGGGTTGGCGTATAAGTAAACAATTATTATTGCAGTTATACTCGTGTTTTGGGTTTGCAATGGGGAAGGACACGGTTTAAGGAAATTAGATTCTTTAAATTTACGGTAAGTTTTAGTTAAAAAATCTACCAAAGCAATAACGTTCTTCAAATACACCTAAACAATAGAAAAAAAGTAAATGATCCAACCTATGTATCGTGTATAGCGTCGGGGATTAGTTGTCCGCTTGTCACTGTGTTAACGTCACGAAAACGATTAACCAACGAAACACCCTTGCAATAATAGCGTTTGAATGTTGCACAAATAATTATGTTACCTCTGGGAAGATGACATTACAATACTAGACGAATCCACTCAGTAGTAATTATACAATGTAAAAAAGCTAGTTTTAAATTAACACATAAAAATAGCTTTAGAAGCTACCTTCTTCTTTTTATTTGTTTAAATTTTACGACCAAAATTTTTTTTTATTCTAGTTGTTTACTCTAGACAAAGAGAACGACTTTTCTTCTAAATTCTCTCATACATAGAGTAAAAAGGTTGACGTCTATGGATATATGACATTACTACTTAATTCATACTGGCCTGCGACTCGTGCGTAAACATTTCCTTCGTGTGAAGCTAAGTCCCACTTCGCACACTAGTTACACTAATAACTATTTCCCAAGAGTTTCATTGTATTGGCTAGAGAACTTTGGTATGCAAAATACACAATTTTGCTCCCCCCGCCCCCAAAAAAAACCCTGTCACCTGGGGCAAACGGCCCCCCTGCTCCCATATCTGCGTTGGTCCTGTTTGCAGTCGGTGAACTTAATATACTGACCTCTTCTTCAACACGTATGAAGGTTTTCTTTTCTTGTATTGGCTTTTGTATGACTTCCTTATTGTCTGTTGTTGTTATTGAACCTGCAACAGCTTCACCCATTGTAAATTTAAGTAATTTTCATCTAAAACTACATTCGTGCTTTAAGTTGATCCTTGAAAACTAAACTAATCTGACGCAGGGGTCATTAAAATAAACTGCTATAACTGAACTATCTTTAAAAATTGTAATGGTAAAATCCACAACTAAACAGTTTTAAAAGTCTGTGGTTTTAGAAAGTGCTATGACATAACTGGCTTTTATAAATCTGCGACTATAAGCTATAATATAATATAAAATACTGTAATTTTTTTAATGCTTAATCAAACTTAGAGCCTGCAGCAAGCTCGCCCATTATACACCATGCTTATTATTTTAAAGAAAATGCAGCTTCAGTTTTTCCGTGTTTAAAGTAGATACCCTTAAATTTAAGAAAAACAAATCAAAGAAACAGTAGGTTTTTATAAATTACAAATGCCAAAAAATAACTTATCTTGTAAGGTGAGTGTGGCATGATAAAACTCTTTTACGTTCTTTGCCAGTGAAAATACCTAGGAAATCTGTTCCGTAATCTTGTAGGATGACAAATTAAAAAAATAATTTTACTGGAATTTGGTGGACGATATTAAGTAAACGCTTCAATGATGGCGATCCTTGTAGCTTCAAAGGACACTATTTTTGGGTAATTTCATAGCAATTCTATTATACTCACCATAAGGCACACATTCATTGTAGGCATCTCCTATGAACCCAACTTTACATGAACACACAGGGTAATGGTTCTTGACGTGACATTCTGTGTTGTTGCCACACACTCCGTCTTGACAAGGATCTACACACTTCTGCAGACGACATGAGCGGTCTTCCGGACAATAAGAATTAGTCTGACATTCCGGAATCCCTGCGACACAAGAATATCACAACTATATAGCTGTTGAAACAGTCCAATACATGTTGGATTGATATTCTAGGTCCCCGGTGATGAGATCAGAAAAATACAATACTAGAACTGTTGGAGGAACCGAGCCCACCAAAACTTTTTGTGTTGATTTGCCAGATTCAACGTGAAAACGAACCATCTCTTGACATTTTAAAATTCAATAATGATACATTATTAACTGTAATAAATACATGTAAAAAAAACAGTAATGACAAACTGTTAATGGTAAACAGCGAAACGTAACGCTAAGGTTTTTACAATTAAATGATAAACAAACTATCTACAACAAAAGATAACTAAAATACCTACAGTAATCTTACGGAACTAGTTGAATCACGTTGATGGACACGATAAATAATAAGTGCATCTCAAACTCAAAGAGATCCTGGCAGCAGGTGTGGCCAACCTGGCCTACGCCGACTCTCAATAGTGCTGAGGTTGTCTATCCCTGCATAACATAAGAGGTATTCGCAGGTCTAGAGAGACTGGTGCGAGAGAAGAGCACGACTAAAGTTTCAACCACTGGTGGCGCGAATATACACCGAGTCTAGGGGACGTTGGACCGCCAGGCTCATCCCCAGCACCTGGCAATGGGTGAAACGGCAGCCAGGCGAGGTTAGGTATTTTGTGACCCATTTTTACACAATATACCCTTATAATTAGATTAATTCGTAAATAACAAGGCAAAAATGTAGTTCAGATTCCACTATAAATTATAGGTTCCTTAGTCGACAGCGCAGACCTGCCTATGGAACATGTCGTCCTTAGTCACTAAAAAGACTACAAGATCGTCACACTCATCGCCATTCATACTTGGCTTAAATACCTACCTATGGTCACCATTCCAGTTTAAAAATTCTTTAATATTAGACTAGTCACAATTACTACCGGGCCTTCTTGCACAAAATTAAGCAGACCTCCTGCCCGGACTGACTGTACTGTCCCAGCAAACCAGACACGGCCGAGCAAACCTTCTTTTTCAACAAGTGGTATGTCCACCGAGCTTCTTTAATTGTTGAGTTTGGCCTTGACATTAAAACACCTCACTGATTACTCCCAACAACATCGTCGGAGCTATGCCATGTGGAGAGGGCACCTCCTCGACCAGCCTAAGCCTTCGAGAGAAAAAAAGAAGGAATGTCCTCATGGGATAGTAAAAAAGGCCTTGCCCGAAGTAATGTGCTAAACTGGCAAAGGCTAGTGTCTTGAAAGATGAGATCTTTAGCCAGTATTCCGGGTATATTAAGCCCGTTGGGATCTGGCACTACCAAAAGAATATTTTATCTCTCAGTGTGTGTAAACGCTTTTTAACCTCCTCCACACAGAAAAGATAAACTCACAAAACATTTTTAAGCACAGTCCTACCAATCTAGTATTATATAATATGCCACAACGTTCTTCATCACAATTTTTTTTTTAAGAGGTTGGTGGCCTTGTTTAACCTTGCATTTGTCCGCCCACATAGACTACAGATCTGTGCGTGGAACGTATCCAGCAAAGCAAGGTGAGCCGGTACAGTACAAAGGTGAACTGTACTGATAAAAGTTAGTGGCAGTGACCGGGATCAGAACCCACGACACTACTGCCTTGGGCCCGACGCTACCGAATGAGCCACCGACTCACCAAATTTAAATTTATCAAAGTTTATTTTTGAAGTTAAATTTATCAGGTGAAACATTTTCTTACTCTTGGGACTGCAGCCTATGTCTTGATTATAGAAGAATCCTTTGAGGCAGGCACACACTGGTTGATGGTTGACCACTCTACACACAGTATTAATGCCACAATAGTTCAGACAGGGGTCTACACAATTGTGACCAATACAGCTCTTGTCTGTTGTACACATGGAGTCGTCCGTGCATTCTGCATTTTCTATAAGCATAAACAATATCTTAAAAACATTATATAGAAGTATAATAAAAGAGGATGTTGGTTTGTATATTTTAACAATTGGCGGTAATAAACTCAGACATCTTGGACCAATGGCCACAAAACTTGGTACATACAAGTATAATTTCATGCAGTAGGTTTATAAGCCATAAAAATTTAGGGCTTAGCCTTTGGACCATTTTAAAGAAACCCATGTCAGCGATTTTGAAAGAATTTTATTTTTAAAATAAAAAATAAATAAAACAGTAGTAAAATAAAACAAAAGCTCATTGAAAGTAACATTATAAATTCTCGATCCAAAAATATTCTCCTTAACAAAATAATATTTCACGTTTGGGTAGTAAAATGATTGAAATAAATTAAATAATGATTTTTATTATGATCCTTAGTATCCTGGGAGTTTGTTTTGACATGTGTACATGGTGACACATCAATGAGATAATAACAAAAATCAAATCACTCTCTTTCATTAGTTATGAAATGAGGATAAATAAAACAAAATATGTTTTATAAACGTATTCTAACGTCTTTTTCTAGAGTTTAGTACTTTTTCACCTTCTTTTCTTTGTATTCGATTTACAACCCCGAAGAGCATAAACTTGTACATCTAGTCCCACATACCTGACTTACATTCCGTAAACGGGTCTCCTTCGTAATTGGGCTTACAGAGGCACAAAGTAGCTCCTTCGTGTACCACACATATTGTGTTCAGCCCACACACTTTGTCACAAGGATCTTTGCATTTTTTAGCTATGCATATATTCCCTGAAATACACTCATCGTTCGTGAGACACTCAACCCCTGAAACATAGATATAGAAGATGATTAATTGAACGAAACATTTGATACATTTAATAGCTTTAAGAATTTGTATATTATCATACTTTTATAGTGTATATGGTACGAAAAACATAAAACATTACTCCCTCTGCAGCAAACCTACAAACTGAGAGAACTTATATTTGTCTAATTGGATTTTTACTAAAATACCTCCACAGACAAGACATATTATTTTCCATTGAAATAACATTATATATAGCGAGTGCTTTGTTTTGTTGCTACAGGAAGAATTACATAGGATTTTTAAATATAATTTTTTTTTATCTGTAACCTCTAATTGTACAAGTTTTCAATATACAAAATTGTTTATTTTTAGCGAATTTCCCTATAGGGAAGAAGCTTTCACCATAGGTGGCACGGTATGACCTAGACCCAGGACATATTTAATTCATCATTTTGGTGTTTCCAGAGGCAAAAAATACTATTCGTTTTAATATAAATAAATGTATATACACTGTATCCAGCCTAAGGGGTTCCAATAGCTATTTTTTATATTTTATGCCTGATAACTTCTTAACGGGGGCCCATTTTTTTTCTATTTTAGGTATGTATTTCAATTTTTAAAATGTTCTGTCATTTTCCCAATATGGCCTCCAACTTAGTTTTTTTCTTATGGAGACCCTGTTTTTGACGATTCTTTTAGAAAGTAAATGCAATAAAAAAGTTTTTATTTCCAACATGTTTTCTCTGACTACTTGCTTAGAAGCTACCCGCTGTTACAACTAAGAAACAATTACTTGCAGTGTACATGTAGCTCCTAATCGAGTAAGTTAAGGGCGAAAATGCGAAGAGTAACTAAGTTTTAAAATTGCATCTACATTCTTAAAAAACCATTAAATACATCAAAGATAATTGTTCCATCGTTTCTAAAATGGCCGCCCTTTTTCCAAAATGGCAGCAAATTTGAAAATATGAAAAATTTATATTGGATGGCGGTACATATAGTATACAGGGTGTCCTGAAACTCTCTGGAACCCTTTTGTATATTTGTTCCTTAGGTTAAAACAAAGCAAAACACCACATAAACATGGTTATAAGATGCCTGGTTTTCTATCTGCGTTGCTGTATGTGATTTTCATAAATGTATCCATAACTTTCAAACTCCTTAAGCGATTGAATCGAAGCTTAGTACGTAAAAGATAAGTCCAATGTTTACACAAAGCATCAGATTTATAAATTGTACCAATACAAATTGGTGGCCATTTAAAGTTTTTGCCTTAAATAACTTTAAAATAAGTGATGATACAAAGGGTATCAAGGATAAGCGTTTTTAAGAATTTGTATGACAAATTCAACTGGTTAAGTTGTAAAGATTGGTTACAAAACAAACAAGTTATAAAAGTTTTTGTGAGACCGTGTATATGAACGTAACGATGTTTTAATGTTTTCCCATTGTTGCCACGTTGGTGAGTAGTACAATCATATAAGGAATTTCCCAGGAAAAAATTCCCGAAGATTTTTTCTTAGTGGTTTCTAATGTATTTTTTGGCGCTGAATCCGATTTTAAACTTTGCCACCTCGCCAGAGGTGAGCTAACTTCAGAAATCGCGAAAAACTAATAAAATACTGTACTTGTTTTACTTTTTTGCGTATAACTCACAAACGGAGTATTTTTTTGCAATAACTGTAATTAACTAAATTAAAGTACACTAAATTCCCTACAATATACGTACAATAACTTTATTTCTACGATGTTCCAAACTGACGCTAGAGCGCGCTCAAAATTCATCATTTTCTTTTACCTATTGGAAAACGTAGGAAACACCATTATAAATCCTTGGATTAGTCACCCAACGAACTCTATTTAATGAATATTGATTATTTTATAACTATATGGTACCATTAGGTCACATTTAGTGGTAAACAAAATTTAAGTGATGTTTATAGTCCGTAATCATAGCAATAAATAAATAACAAAACAATTTTCAATTTAAACTAGAGGACCCATGCTGCTCCGCAGCGTTAAAATAAATATAATATCCGAGAAATAATCAAATTTATGACTTTTGATTGAACAATACAATATCTTGATCGCTTAAATAAAAGCCGATATTTTACTAAAAGTTCTTAGACCAAAACATATAGGATTATATAATTATAACTGGTGAAATACATCTTAAATTGATGTATGAATTCGAAAATAATCAAATTATGTTTTTTAGTCGAGTACAGTAGGTAAATATATGCCGATGCTAGATGTGAAATATTTGCGTGCATGGCATCAATTTGTGACCTAAATCATTAAAATCGGTCAGGTAGAAGAGCCAAACGAACTCGATAAAGGGAAACCAAATTTAACTCCAATAAGAAATACATGGGAAGTGATTTCGTTTACGTATACGCCGAGTGTTATTATAGATAAATATATACCGATGCTTGATGGCAAATCTGTGGAGCATACCTTCATATTTACCAGTTTGAGAACTCAATCATGAAAATCGGTTGGGTAGGGGAGCCAAACGAACTCGGCAAAGAGAAACCAAATTTATCTCCCATAAGAAATGCATGGAGAGCAAATTTCGTTTAAGTATAACCTGAGTGCGATTATAGATAAATACATGCCGATGCTTGATGGAAAATCTGTGCGTGCATACCTTTAATTTAAGACCTCAATCATGTTAATCGGTCGGGTAGAAGAGCCAAACGTAGTCGGAAAAGAAAAACCATTTTTTTTTATATATAAGATACCTTTGAAAATTATTATTGTAAATCATTGTGTCAATTATAAATATAGTTTAATATGCTGGGGCTGCAGTATAGATGCCATTTTCTCCATATATGTACATTATATAGATAGTATCTTTATAAAATGTACACACTATATACAGAAAATAGACAGAGATGTTGACTGAAATGCTATAGACGAGCTTCTATTTATTAAATTAACATGTACAACTATAACTTTTATTTTCCTATTTTCTCCTCACTTGTCGTCTTTATTTTCTTGACTGGCTAGGGGTCCTCGGATGTGGGCTGAGCTTTGAGATGGATGTTCTGTAGAAGGACCTGGGATGTTGTCCTCATCCAAGGGAACGTCTTCCACTTCATCATCTACGATGGTTGGTTCGGAGTTGGAGTAGTTCCTCTCACATTTAACACATATTTTTGAGCAAAAGAGCCCTAGGTACTCGTCGGCAGCCGCAGTTACCTTCTTGCATGAGCATGCTACCAGTTTCAAGAGATCATCTGGGGCTGGGCTCCGTAAGGTAGTAATAGGAACAAATGAGTTTGCAGTCTTTCTCCAGCCCCAACCCTCGGGTGACAACTTCTTTCTTGAACTTGGTAAAACACCCTCTGGGAGTGTTGTTCAGCAGCAGCTTCAGTTGGTAGATATTACCATTCATCTTATAAGCTGATATAATACAACTCTTGAATCGCAGCTTATTCAGCTTGTTAGTGATATGGTTACCACCATACAAGGCCACCAAGAGTCTCTCCCCTGCCTCGGTAATTTCATTTGTTGTTGAATTGGGATTAGATAACCGGCAAAGATAGGTATAGAGGTCGTTATGTCTTATAACTGTCTTATGACTCGACGTCCGCTCTATTCCAACAAGGTAAAGTAAAGGCACTAAAGACAGTCAAGAAAATAAAGACGGCAAGTGAGGTGAAAATAGGAAAATAAAAGCTATAGTTGTACATGTTAATTTAATAAATAGAAGCTCGTCTACAGCATTTCAGTCAACATCCCTGTCTATTTTCTGTATATAGTGTGTCCATTTATAATGATACTATCTATATAATGTACATATATGGAGAAAATGTTATCTATACTGCAGCCCCAGCATATTATACTATATTTTTAATCGACCCTATGATTTATAATAATAATTTTCAAATGTATTTAAATTGAAAACTGTTTTCTTATTTTCCTATGCTATGATTACCGACTATAAACTTCACTTACATTTTTTTTATTACTAAATGTGACCTAATGATACCATATAATTATAAAATAATCAATATTCATCAAATAGAGTTCGTTGGGTGTCTAATCCAAGGATTTATAATGGCGTTTCCTACGTTTTCCAATAGGTAAAAGAAAATGATGAATTTTGAGCGCGCTCTAGCGTCAGTTTGGAACATCGTAGAAATAAAGTTATTATACGTATATTGTAGGGAATTTAGTGTACTTTAATTTAGTAAATTACAGTTATTGCAAAAAATACTCCGTTTGTGAGTTATACGCAAAAAAGTAAAACAAGTACAGTATTTTATTAGTTTTTCACGATTTCTGAAGTTAGCTCACCTCTGGGGAGGTGGCAAAGTTTAAAATCGGATTCAGCACCAAAAAATACATAAGAAACCACTGAGAAAAAATCTTCGGGAATTTTTTCCTGAAAATATAATCTTTTTTCCTCATATGCTTGGACTAGAGGTATGGCGCTAAGGACTGTACCATGCGCGGTCTCACAAACATTGTTATATTTTGCTTGTTTATTGACGAATCTTAACTAATTAAGTACCATTGGCCTTAATTGTGCCACAAATGATATCTCAGAAGCCATTAGATTTTGAGAAAACCCATATTGGGGAATATCAATTATTTATGATATTCAAAAATATTAATTTCAAATTTCTTATGGGAACCCCTACATTTTCGACATAGTTCTGACATTATTTAATACATCTTCCATACCTATACTTTATATCAACTCACTGCAATAAATAATTGCTTAATAAATAAATAAACAAAGAAAAGTAAAAAAAAATAACAGATGGTTTGTTTTTAAACAGCTTTTTAGTTAAAATAACATTCATTTGGAAAAATAACTTATCACCCGTAGAAGAAATTTAAAAAAGTAAACAGGCTAAAAAGCTAGTGATGTAATTTTTCTAATATCCGTGATAATTACTTTCCCTCAATGAAAGCTTTTATTTCCTATATCCTTTTATTCAAACTATAATATATTTAGTAGGAATACAATTGATATTTTGCTTACATCAGCGCACCCAAATGTAACAGCACATAAACACACGCTAAACAACGTTTTATATTTTACAATTGGATGGTAAGCCTACTTGCAGTATTCAAGGTCAGTTATAAAATAGTGTTTAAATATATATGTTATGCATCTGTTTATTTTTGCATAAAACCCGTCATAGGTCGTGGTAGCAATTTAAAATTGTTATTCCTGGTAATTCTTCATGTCCTTGTGTGATAGCATCAATTGTAATTAATTGTAATTGTGCATTGTAAAAAGCTGTCCAGATGAATTGGTACATGTAAACATTGTTATTATCCTACTCTATCCTAAAAAAATGTGAGCAGTAAAATGATTTGCATAGGCCTCTCTTTGAAGACTCGTGGGTGGACCCTTGATTTGTACACTGCAATTGTCTCACTCATCTCTACGAATCTTACTTATTTCCTTTAATCAATGGCAAAATAATAGACTAACTAAAATTATCTCTTAGTTCCATCGGATCTTTATATCCATCCAGCTGTTAGTTCAAACAAATTATATTGCACTACAACAAACCCAACATTTTAAAGACTAATCTGAAAAATGTATTAGAACGTCTAGTATTTTCCTATGTATATTGAAATAATCTGTCATTCTCTTACCGAATAACGTATCAATGATTATAGCATTACACATAGTATGAATAAGTCAACCCTATGTAAGTCATTTCATTTTTATCCAAATACTGAATTTGTGTCACAAATGCTGAATGTAAAGCAGGTGTGTTAAGCAAATGGTATAATACCAAAAGATACTCTAGAATGTTAGCGTCGGCTACTGGACTTATCAAAAATTAAAACTTAATTTCTAAAATAAACTGAATTTTTAAACTAAAATTATGGCTTCAACATTCCCTAATTCTACAAATTATCTTTCTATCAACACAAAAATCATGAAATTCCATCAAGTGATTCAGAATCGTGAAATAAAAAAATACCCCCGCCGCAGCAAACCTGCAGACCAAGCGAATTTCCTGCCTGATTGGATTTACACTAAATTGCCTCCTTCAAAATATCACATTTGTTCCCTATTAAAATAGAATTGTTTTAACGAGTACTTAGGTTTACTGAAACAGGGAGGGTAAAATAGTGGTTCCCCCCTTATTTTAGTTACTGAGATAGCTGGGATGGCATAAAATATATCACAGTTTACAATTACTTGGCCTTTTAGTTTGGCTTGTCTAAAGATTTTGTGTTTTGCAGAGATCAGTAACCTATACCAGTCAATTCTGTCAGTGCCTCAATACATTTAACTAACTGACACTTGCATACGTATTACGTAGATTTTAATAAAATTATTAAAACATTTACCTGTGGTGGTGTTGTTTACAGGCTGAGTCCTCGACTTGACTACAAACAACACCAAGAGACACAAACACACAATTCTCGAATCCATCTTGGTCAACTACAGTATACCTCCTGAACTGAAAAGTGTTTGTGTTAAAGTTTTATAGTACTTTGTTCCGCAGATAGCATTGTATCACATTTGACCTTTTGATAATGACTATTAAAATGCTGATTCTTTCTAAAATTGCATCTTATTTACGAGTACGACAAATCTATAGACTAATCTATAGAGATTTTGGATCGTATGTTATGAAGTAGTCTTCCTTTTTACAAACTTAGAACTGTAAATAGAACACTGCGCAGGGTAAAAGTGGTGGTCAATGAGACCATGTGATATAACTAATACACATTATGTCGTTAAGGTTTATAATAAAAAATGATTTAACAAAAAATATATGTTATATTTTATAGCAAACGATTGAAAACATTTATCAAATATTACATGTTTTCCCTAATTACCTATCGGTACTGCTATACTTAATTAAATAGTTTATATTAACCTGGGGTAGTAAGTAAAAAATGGTATTCTAAAAAAATTGATTGTGTAAAGTATTTTAATTTCATAAGAGAGTTTGTGAATGACTAATCAATTTACAGGTATAATAGTAATCAATAGTAAGATACAGTGTATTGTATGATTATTTAGCGATTAAAATTATATATAATCAGTTTAAAAATAAAAATAATGAAATGTGCGAGTCAAATACACGAAACGCACTATCTTTTTGCAAGACATTTATGCAGAAATTATACATAGAAAAATACGTTAACTATGCCTAAACTAGATTGATGCGTTGCCATGTTCTGGCCTAAAGGTTGAAGTTAAGTAATTGTATTGAATTCTAGCTCAGGGCCCCAGCATAACCCTTTGTACATAGATAATGTAAAATATGTTAGTGATAACAAATAAAATTGTACTATGAATATGTAAAAATAAACTATTTATATTCCTAAATGTTCTCAGTAATTTAATAATAATTTATTTTGCAGCATATGTTTTGCGATTGACGCAGAAACAAATTTAACATACGTATATTTAGAATATGTTCCAAAAAGTGTAGACTAAATAATTTCTCTATTCGTATAAGTTGACGTGTTTTTAAATTTACAGAATATAATTAAAATTTATCTAGCAACACTTGAAACATTGTATTAACAATGGCTTATACTGTTGACTCACAGGATGGTAAATAAATGTAAAAGATGGCAATTAATCGATTTCGATTAGACGCTCCAATCATCACGAAATGCGAATGTCCGGAACGTTCCCAATACGCCTGTTGGGTGTGATGATGATTGGTGTGTATCCAAAAATGTAAATTTAAATAAGTAAATACAAATAAAATAAACATTTCATTCATTTAAAATGTATACAGGGTGACATTTAACCAAAAAAGGTTTATATCATGGTAATAAAAAGCTAACTATTTTGTGTACATGGTGATCGGATGTCCCCTATGGTTGGCGGCCCATAAGGAATATGTTGAAAATCTTAAAGGTAAGCATAGGTACATTAAATTAAATGTATTGTTGAACTTAAAACATGCCACATACCGGGCATTAAAAGGACAATCGAGTCAAAATGGCAGCTGTTCAAAGATTCATTGAATTTGCATTTCTATTATACGCTACTCTCTCAGGTTCTGCGCCCGCTAAAAGACGGAATAGAATCATAAACGTAAGCATAGGCCAATATGTACATCAAATTAATGATCTTTATTAGTATATATTAGTTTATTAGTTTATTAGGATATAATTAGGAAAATTTTAACTCAAATGAACAACTTGGTATAATATTGCAAGCTTTTAAAGATTTAAAATGGTTGATTCGATAACTCCCTCAACAGCTGCCATTTTTTACTCGCTTGTTCCGGTTGGCGGTTTGCGGTATTGTTTTTAGATCAACCAGACCTTAAATTTGATGTACATATCAACCTATGCTTACCTTTGAGATTTGCAACTTATTCCTTATGGGCTGTCCTCCATTGGTGACATCTGATCACCATGTACACGAAAAGGTTGGTTATTATTACCAGTATTGATATGTAAAATTTGGTTTAATTATCGCCCTGTATACAGATAATACTAAGTGAATTTCTAGCAAATGTAATTTATTGCTAGAACACATGCCTCGTAATGACAGTAACATATCAATCCAACTTATCTGTAAACTTGCAACATTACAACCATTTTCACATTAAGTTAAAAGTTCATTCCTTAGTAATAATGGAATGTCAGAGCTTACATCAATGACATTTTCAATTAATGGATGGGCTGAAAACTTCCCGAGTACAATTTTACATTAGAATTCAAACATGAAAACATGTCCTGAAAAACTTATTATTTGATTTGCCTAATACAATTTTAGTACTATTTTAGTATTTTAATTTTAGTATTTTAGTAATTTTAGTACAATTTTAGTACAGTCTTGCTAGTATATCAACAGCCCGGGGAACAAATGAGTATTTTATCTGTGAAAATTTTAATTATTTTGAAGAGGGCAGTCTGATGCTCTCAGGTGTGTTTAGGTGTGTAGGTGTGAATATAATTGTAAATACCAAAGTACTGTTATCACTAACGTTATATAGGTACCTACAACATTCTTTTGCCTATTGGAAATTATAACTCGAAAAAGCTGCTGGATACTTTATCATAATGGTTTTTATGTTATCAAATTTAAATTTGTGTTTACTCTCGAATCGTATTATATTAAAAATAAAATACGTGGTTTTGTGAAAACTTCCGTACTGTATAATTTAGATTTTTTCAATTAATTTGTTTCTATTAAACACAGAGTAGATACTAAATTACTTTTCTACTCACTGAAAATCACCTCTAAGACTCATCATCAAACCAATTAACAGGGTTGCTTTCCAGCTTCTCAAGTTTAAAGCAAACTTGTGATTACGAAACTCGATTTAACTTTTACATGTTGACGGATAAGGCCATGTCAGCAGCAGATTACATTGTTGGATTTAAGTGTAAATTACTTTTTAAACAGCTCTATGTAAATCAAGCTGGTATTTTACTCAACTGGACAGTTCGATGAAAATACATTAATTGTTTAAATATTTTTTTTTTTATTGTATGGTTATCACCAGCTAGATGTAATAAAAACTATGAGCTAAACTTCAGAGAAGAGCAATATCGACTCTACCAAAGTAATGATGGCTAAGTCTATATTGGGTTTCAACAACACGTTAGCAAACTTTTGATCCCTTTGGCCCCGGGTACGATACGAGCGGCGAGCGGCGAGCGGTGAGCGGCGAGCGGCATGAGCGGCGCCGCTCTGACATCGGGTCTCATTTGGTTGCGTGTAAATTTGTTGAGGGTGGCCACCATCGATGTATATAAAACTAACATGTCGATGGTGGCCACGATACGTCTGAGCGGCGAGGGGCGGTGAGCGGCACCGCTTAGTGCCGCTCATGGTTCCAAGTCAAAACCGATTCTCGCGAATACGCCGCTCGCCGCTCAGGTGAATCATGCTTCAGTTCGGCCTAAAACGACAGGGAAACAACAAACAATTTCAACAAATTCAACAACAAATTCAATTTTGCAAACATGCGATACGAGTCGATACGTGAGGTGCAGTCCAGGTAATGTTTGTGGAATGACCAGCAAGGAAGTTTCAAAACACTTCAGTCACCAGAAAAGTATGGGGAAAAATTAGGGTTAAGGTTTTTCTAAAAACTAAGTTTTTCTTTAAAGGTAAACAATTGTCAGATAGCAACCAAAGTTGCAATACGTCTTGCAGGTAAGCAAAGTTTACCATTTTATACTAAACTAACTCATAAACTTGGGAAACTTGATTATCGTTATAAATGTGCCGCTTGTATCGTAGCCACCACCGCCGCTCAGGTTGCCGCTCACCGCTCGCCGCTCGTATCGTACCCGAGGCCTTTATATTTTACACAGTATACCTTGCTGGATTGTTTCCCTAGGAATTTGGAAGATAGAGCCACAATATTAAGCACCGAAGCATTTTTGTTTGAAATAACAAAATATCATTAGTAAATACCTATCTAATAACATCCATTATGTTGTTCTATTATTTTGTCTTTTTCAAAGTCAAATTGTTGTTATAATTAACGGCTTTTGGACCAGTACTAAGCTTTTATTTGAACGAAAGTAGGTTACACGAATAGTCTGGGCTGATTTACTTCAACATTATATACAGGGTGGAAAACAGTCCCGGGACAGTTAAATATTTCAACAACCTAAGATGTAATAAAAACCAAAAAGATGCATGGTTATTGTCACAGATTATACGATGGAGGTTAAATCTTGCTGAGACCATATAACAAAATTAGTGTCTAATAGTCACAATTCTCAGTGTGTTGAAACCCCATTCAAATTAAACATATTTCTGACAAGCATTCAAAGCATAAAACTTATTTATTTTGACATCTGGCTGAGAGAGATCAACATATTTGTTTCCTTTTTATTAGCCTATCCATATTTTCCTTGTTTAAAGTAACTAGTATCCACAGAAACCTTAACCTAACTTTTAAAAAGAGCTTTAGATTTGTTTTAGTTAGTGTCAAATATAAAAACACGTTCACTTTTATTAAGGTCACTTTTATTTTGTAAAACACTTTCGAAAATCAAAATAAATTTATATTACACCATCCTTGGGGTGTAGCGTAAAAACGTCCCTTTGCAAACGGGTTATAAAAACTGTCAAACAATGTTACTTTTCCTGTTTTCAAACGGGACAAGCTTTTAAAAGCATTTAAAGGTAAAATAATTCCGTTCGCCAGCAGCTGTGGGACACATTAGCAGAGTTTATTTTTAGTAAAAACACAGTCCAGGAATAAATCCAAAGAATTGGAGACAAAAAAGTACTGGTATTTTCCGAAAATTTCAACTAAAAGCTGTCAAATTACTTTTACGAGTGATTTAAAAAGTTATAGTATTTAATTTGAAAATAGAAAGCATTATTATGAGTACAGTATTACAGGAAGAGGGGGAAAGTAGGATACAGTACTTACAGTACATCACAGGTTTTACATCAGTGCTTGGTTTTTATATAGAATAACAATGGCGTTCCTCTTATACCTTTAAAGTTTGATTCTTTGGATTAATTTTATTTACCTATCAGATAATCCCATACAATAATTCGTTGTTTTGAAGAATATCACATATATTGTAATCACATAATGGTTTTTTGCTTTATAGTTTCAATTAAAAAAACCCTATAAAACTCTTCTGTCACCATTCAAGAGGTGTATCATAAACAGACACATATATGTTTTAATACATTCACCATTTAAAGTCCAAGCAAAACCATTACAATATAGTTCATTCCTTATTGCTACTTAATAAAGAAAGCCACCCTTAAGAGAAAATGGAAGAAAAGTTAATAAATTAGTTACTTTAGGTGAGTTTTTACGGAAAGTTATTTTGAATAAGAGGACGCCACTTCTACTGAATTCGTTAACAAAACTCCGGAATTGAATAATTATTTCGTTTCAGTCAAACTTTTATTTACAGCTCTCCAAAACACTATTAACTTTCAAATTTCTAATCGAAACGTTTCCCATTATCCTTGAGAGCATTTTATAATTTTACCTGACTTTTCAGGAAAGGCTATTTAGACATATTAAGGTTTTTTTAACCCTAATTAATCATTTGAAGTGCAAAAAAATATATTCCCAAAAACTGGAAATAATTGTTCATCTTTTATTATAAAACAAATTGAAAGTGGGTGACTTTTAATTTTGTAACTGTGTAAGAAAGATGTTATCCTCAGTAAATTTATTTTTTATTTAATATTGTCGTAACTAAATGATCCAACCGAAATTATTATTAAGATACTAAACTTCAAAAGTTAAGTTTAATATAGCTTCACTTTAATTAGTACTATACTTAGTAAGAGCTGTATCTATTGATCGAAGGAAAAGAAGATTCAATAACCCAATACAGTCAATATCATTAAGTTAAGTGAATATTGAGAAAGTAGGCCAACAAAACAATAATGGACCTGGAATAGGAAACTTGGTGCGACCATAACTCTTTTTGTCTATGGTGATTTACCACATACAATGATCAAGAAAACAACCACAGTAAAAATATTATTCACCAGGATTGAGGAAACAACAAACCTAATTTTGAGAAAACTAATTTACTCCGTTAATTAGGTTAAACATTGACTTTGAATAGTAACGTTTGTACTCAATATACGTAGACCAAGTGTAGACAGTGATTGTTTGCTTGTTTTTGTTTTTATTACAGAAAACGGAATTAATAAAAGTAGTTACTTTCAGAGGGTGTAGAATTTTTTAATCTATAGTTAATAATTAGCTCTTTCAGTCTTGTATGCTGAGAAAATAGTATTTTTCAGCAATATCCATCGGTGACCAGATAAACTATTTTTCCTTGTAAAACTGGTTGCAATTTTAAAATATGATTTTAACGAATTTCGCAGTAGCGTGTCCATACTCAATGGACTCTTAAAATCAATGGCTTATTCAGGGGCCTTGCAGTTGCACATTTCACACCAGGGGATGCAAACTCTCAGTTTACAGTGATTTTCCAACTTAGACTGCTTAGATAGCCAAATAGCCAATCATAGCTCAGAACTAACAATACATTGGCCTGTAATAAGATACCTATGATTTAGCTACCGCTTTATTATAAAGCAATGGACAGTGATCAAGTTAAAGCTAATCGTGGCAGTTATAATCTTAACTCATAGTTCAGAAAGGATATACTTTTTGGTTGCCACTGTAATCCTTGGTCAATGAATACACAAACTATAGTTTGTGTATTCATTGCCTTGGTCGTCTGGATGTCGACCAGTTTCGACACTCAAGGTAACATTGTCCAGGCTTAAAACGTGTTGTCACTCCTAGGAGGTTATCATAAAGTCCTTAAAAAATGTATACGAGACACAAACAAACATTTTAACGAATAAATAACACAGTATGGCCATACAAGAACACTATCAAGGCGAGGGAAGCGAGTTCAGGTCGCCATCTAGACGACTAAGGATGGTTAACAGTGGCAACAAAAAGGTCTCTAACCTCTAGAATAATAATGTTAAGTAGTCCGGAAGGCAACACCTCAAAAATGAAGTCATAGTTTGAAGCACATCCTAGAAATAGCTTTCTGTCGTATGTGTTGGGTTGTACTAGCATAGGTACTCGAGAAAGTGAAGTTTTGGTTTTGTTTTTCTTGTGTACAATATTACAGCCATTTTTCCTAAATTTGATGATGGAAAACGAGACGAGGTTTGATGAAACAAGTTTCTATAAGCTTAAATAGGGGATCGAGTAAAAATAAAATATACAATAATCCTTCCATTTAATACAATGTACGAAACACATCAATATTGAGTATAGCAAGGATAACATGTAAAAAACTAAGGATTAAGGATGTCAAAACTAAAACCTTTCGCAGACGTTTGCGAGTAAGAAATTCACAATGTCCATGGTGAATGACGTCCCCTCGATGTAATTTATCTCAATAAAAAGAATCCCCTAATACTGTTAAATGCTGAGAATGTCTGCTGAACGGGGTCCTAAAATAACCTCATTTATTTCCAAGGATACTCGCCTAATTGAGCCATTTATCAGGGATTTGTTGTAAAGAAATGGCAAACTTGACTCCCATCATCTGTCAGTATTATATCATTAATGAACCTGAATCTTATCTATAAGCATTGACTGTATGTCAATGCTATCGTCAATGCTATAAGTGATTACATTCATACCACATGAGAAATCATTGCTAAACATTAATGATCAATACTACACATTATAACTATGGGATGTACCTAAAAAGAATTTAGGTGGATTGCACAGTTTAGTGAGTTATGTAAATAAGAACAACTAGTCATTATAAAATGTGTAATTGTGAAGATCCAACTTTTAGGAATAATTTCTATAAATAGAAAAACGCTAAATTACAGCTTAATATTTTTTTACACTCAACGGAAAACATTTTTATTGTTTTCAAGTAAATTTGAAACCTAGATATAATCTAATCTAATGAATAATACTAAATAAACATGAAAATAACGAAAATCCTCCAAAATAACGTAAAAATCGTATTTTATGAAAGAAAGGTTCAAACTGTTTTAAATAAAATTTAGTTCTTTTAATTAGTTTTCTAATCACAGTTAATGTTAGTTTCCTTATGAATCATAGTTACTTCCAACGCTTCTATAATAATGGTTCTAGACCAAAAATATTTGAAAGATTGTTGATACAGTACTATTTAATATAACTTTGCTAATAGATTTGAATAGCAAGCATAAAAACAAAGTTTTTTATGAAGCCTGAATAAAGAACAAGACTACTTGAAGCTGTTCCATGTTAATGATAAGTGAGAATTTAAACCTTAAGAGTAATACCTTCAAAATGCATTTTTAACTTACATGATACAATGCAACAGAAAAGCCATGCAATATTTAATTGATCCTTCTAATGGAGCCCCAGATCCTCAGCACTACGAAGTACATAATTTCCCACAATGCCATTATACTGAACCCATTGAACACTCCCAGAATTCCCGCACTGTACGCTATAAACTCTTCCATGCTGTTGATACTGTGACGAAGAGTTGTGGAGAACGTGTTGTATTTGTAGACTACCTTCAACCTGAAGTGGACGTCAGAGTGCTCGTTGACGTTTTTCTTCAAGCCATGTTCCTTTAGCTGAATGGTATAATCTAGGGACACACAGTCCGGCAGACAGTTGCAATGTCCACACCATACGCCGGTCAGACAGTCCCGATACTTGGGCTTACCACAGATATCTGTAGTGTTGAACCTAGGTTGGTTGAAAGTCACACACCCGCACTTCCTGATGGTGCAGTTCAATCTACACTCGAGTAGACAATTCTTTTGAGAGTAAAACCTGAATATTGATAGCCTTCTCTCGTGAGAAAACAAACAACCTTTAGTAGAAGGTTTGAGAGAGTGGAAGTTCTTTTCTGGGACGATTAGCTTAGGAATTGTAAGTATAATTACATCCTTACTGGTAGAAAACGCTTTGTAATCGAGGTTTCCTAAGGTGGGAATCGTTGCAGGGCTGTGGACGCTCAGTAGAAACTTTTCATCACTCCAGACAGTTCTTTTTTTTCTTTTATTACTTTTGATGAGCATTTTCAAGTGGAAGGATTTGTTTGTGTAGACCAGTTCGTTTCTACCTTCATCGCATTTGGGACTCAACACATCTTCAAGAATCCATTTACAACCACTCAGCTTGTCAACAATTGACTGGTTCACTATGTAATACACCACGTTGTCGTTTAAATTACTTTTGTAATGTAGACCATTATATGTTCTACAAACGAACTCATCATTCAGTAAAAAAGGAGGACTTGTATCGACAGTGGTACTTAAAAAGTCAACATACTCTCCAACATTGGTGTCATAAATTAGCGAATCCGTGGCAATGATTTTTCTAATTGTATCAAAAAAGGTGTTCTCATCTGCTGAAGGTATTCGCAGTGCTGTTGAACAATGCAGAATTTCCTGGTTGGGCAGGAACAAACAAGGACGAAATTAGGAAAATTGCAATTTCCTCTTCGTTGCAGAACATGGTTAAAAAATTAACGTTTTTGGAATAATTTTTGATTTTTGACAAACATTTTTTTCTAAGATCCACCTTTTCTGGGTAGTCAATGCTGAGAGAGAAACGGACACAATAAATGACAGCTGGAATTGGAACGTCACTTACATTCGTCAACGTGTTTGTGAGACTTTGAACTGTTGGAGAACTCTGCCAAGTGTTGTAGGCATTGTAGATGTAGTAATAACTCACAAGTAGAGCTGCAAGATGTACAAACCCCCATAGAAACTTGTGAAGCCAATGTAGTCTGCTTTCTGCCACGTAGTGGAGACCAGGGATGTTGAAAGTGCTAAGTTCCTCCAGCAATTTCGGTGCTCGAAAAGACTTTTTCTTGCTCTCTCTCTTGTTTACGGTACAAGATTTTAAAAGCACTATCTCTTTTTCTAACACTACAATTTTCTCCAAGCAAGATGTTTTGAACGAATCAACATTATCTTTTGTATCTTTCAATTCTTAATTTGCTGAAGATCTGACTTTCGGTCTGGTTCATAAGTCTCTTCTTTAGACATATTCAAATTTGTCTTGCTCAATGTTTATGTTAAAACAAAATGCTGTAGTAAGTGTAGCCTACCTTAGTAGGTATATATATTTAACTAGTATATATATTTAATAAAGAAATACATTAAATATCTCACTCATATAACTTTAGAACATTTTACCCAGTGCGACTTGAACAAAAACAATTTGAAAGTGAGGTAATAAACTGAAAACGTGATATTACAGGGGCGTTGTTTCACGGTCAAAGCTAATAATAATAGACTCGTGTGAAGCTCGTTGCATGGGTGTTTGCCTTTCGCGTTATGTCCAGTGTTAGTGTTCATTAGAGTTATGAATAATGTACCGTTTCTCTTCTGTGTTACGTTATATGTGGATTAGTTTGAGTTTAAGTGCACAAACGTATTTTTGTTATGAACCATAAGTGTACCAGCTTTCTAAAGGATTCATGAGTATTCACAGTTTATTTAGTATTGACGTAATACAGGTTGTTTGATAATATACAGTGTGTAAATTAAGTATGGAAACAAATCTGAATGTTTAAAACCGAAATATATAGAAATATTCAGTTTGTGGCATTGGTTGTTAACAAAGGTTTCGCAATCTTTTAAATTAAAAATATATTTTAACCCCCCTAATTGGGTAGGGGTGGCTTATTTTTCAAATAACAACCCCTATTGTGTGATCCCTCATTTTGAAGGGTTTGTCAAGAGAAATACAATGACATAAACCCGAGGTCAATATCTCAGCTATAGCCAAAATGGCAGGTATTCCAAATTTGGACTTATGTGAAAAATCGCCCATTTCAAAAATTCAAAATTTGAAATGGCAAAGGAGATTGAATGGCTAGGGGTGATATGTACCTCGGGTTTGCGTCACAGTATTTATTTTGACAAACCGTTTAAAATGAGAGGTCACTCAATAGGAGCTGTTTTTTTTATGAAATTGTCACCCTCTAACCCCCCTTGGGGATTAACAAATATTGTTAATGTAAAATATCTTGTACAATTAACAATTAATGCCAAAACTGAATAATTCTGTAAAAAAACACAGATTTGTTTCGAAATTTGTGAAATTGGTGCTAATTGACATAAATCAAATTTTGGAATACCTGTCATTTTGGCTAGGGGTGAATATCTACCTGGAGCTTGTTTCATTGTATTCCTCTTGGCAAACCCTTTAAAATGAGGGGTCACTCAATAGGGGTTGCTATTTAAAAAAAAGTCATCCCCTATCCAACAAATGTTAGGGGGGCTAACACATTTTTTTTATGCAAAGTTCTGCGGAACCTTTGTTAACAATCAATTCCTTGAGCATAATATTTCTATATATTTCATTTTTTTATAAAGATTTGGTTCTATACTTAATTTACACAATGTATAATTATTGTACACCATAATTTTAAAGTATCAGATTATCAAATGTATGGTATGTACTCTTTATATTTTTTTTATCATAGTATTAATTGAACAAACAAATATATTGAGCCCTCTTAATGAACCAGCAGCCTCTTTAAGCGTTATTTGAAATTTAGCCTAAACTACTGACTTTACTAACTTTAGAATTTCCTTGGTAGAAAGTTAGCTTCATGTGTTTTCTAGTGTAAACTAAGTTTACTCTAGTTAACTGTGAAATGGATAAAGAGTAGGTTACATATGTACAATTTATATTTAATATTTACTCTTTATTTATTGTTAACATAACTGTATATTAACCATCATTTTATTCTCCAGTAAGGCTCAGTAGGCGTCATGTAATTCCAAAACTTCCAAACCAGTGACTTCGTCTTCCAACCAAAGAAATTCTCATGACATCTAATGTTTGAACGAAGTGGGTTGGATACCACCGAAAACGAAGATTACGTTTAAAACAATGGTCTTCCCGCTTATTGTTCTGAGGTAACCTTTTTTCAACACCCTGTATAAATGAATGCCATAAAAATAATTTCACATTTCAAACACTGTAAAAATTTAACACTAAACTTGTTTTAGCTAGCTTTAATTTGACTTCTCCTTTTAAAATAGGAAAAGTAAAGCTTTTTGATAGTTTTTAAACTCGTTTCCTAATAAAAGTTTGTTTACCTATTGTCACCCGACAAAATGGGCTTCTTTGTACAGAAAGCTGTTAATTGCTGCATTTACTTACTTTTCCGCACACGTTTTACTTGGTCGCACAGTTTTTATTTTGTTTCACACCAGTATTCCAACCAAACAACACAAAACAGCGAGCTTTTATTATGCACGTAATCCGTGTTCGCTTGGACATAAACTGGCAAGACTTTTAAGTTAGGCCTATTACGAATACGATCAGCTGGTGCAGCGCTTCACATTTCGTTAAATGTTCGGATTTAACCCAACCTAAAAACGTGTTGTACAGTGTTTGAAGACCAATTATTTATATGATTTACCTAACCCGCCATGTTAAACTTCCCTATCCCAAGCGTGATGTATATAACTTCGTTAATTCTCGAGTGGTGTAAAGTTGAAAAAAACTCACTCGGTGATGTAATGAAACCCATTTAAATAACATTGAGTGCTTAACTTAAAAAATATACCTCTATGGAGCCAACGACGTTCAACGATAGAAATCAGCTGCGCGCTTGAATTTTATTGTTATGTTTTGAAGAATTTTCCTAACCTAGCTTTTGTTCGTAAATGAACGTTACTGTTAGAAGATGAGTGAAATGGATAATGAAAAATATTGTTCGTAACCTCCTGTATATTGTCAGGTCAGGTAAAATCTTGTACGTTACGCGTTACGCAAGAGCGCGTTTACATCACTTAGGTAAATTATGCAACTCGCCTAATTTATTCACCTAATTATTCACCTGCGTGATGTAAAAACGCTCTTACTACACTTGTAAGGTAAATAGCTATTATAGTAACTGTAGAAACAATATTACACATGATATTGTTTCTACAGTTACTATACTACACAAGTGCAAACTGTCTTTGCGGCACTCCAGAAACTTTCCACACTTGCCAACGGCTCGTACGTAAACATTTCTCTCGTGAGCAGCAAAGTGTTAACTAGTTACACTCGTAACTGATTCAGAACATATTACAAGAAAGGCGTAAAATACCCTTATTTTTATTTTTTAAAAGTAAATAGTAATGATTGATTTGAAAATGATTAAGATAACTCTGAAGTCTTTTTTTTTACTGTAAAAGAATTTATAAACACATTAGAACGATCGTTTCAGCAACGTACATATGATGCCCTTCAACGTTAATCTTTCGTATTCTAAAGGAAGTGTTGTCCTGTATTAAACTAATGAAAAGCTACGCGTTAATTTCCGCAACACTTCAAAACGACGATGGTACATCGTAAAATGCAAATAATTCGCTTTATTAGCAAGAGAAATATATATTGGGCAGTTGTTACTGTCAAGCACCTAAGGAGAAATAACTGCGTGATGTTGAAGGTGCTTAAACTCGTAAGAGAAAACGTGGCAAATATAAGTCCTGTTTTTTCTACATCTTTTGCTATCTGTAGAAACATCTCAACGAAGAAGATGTGTTTCCTGGTTACAATATTGTTATTTTGTTTTCTACAAACAATATTTCCTAAATGCTTTTGTTTTTTTGTGTGTTTTATTGTATTATTTCTTGAAATTGTATATTATTTTTAGAATTCTAATAATGTTTTCCTAACACTAGAACAATATTTGTTGAGTTTGCTTAATTTTTTACCATAGGTTTTTTGGATATATTTATATTTTAAAAGTCAATAAACCTTAAAACACCCCCGCTGCAGCAAACATGCAGACAAAGCAAATTTTTCTTAACCTGGTTGGATTTTCACTAACATATGAGTTTCGCAACGGGGTGAGTATTCAACATAGAATAGTAATGCTCTTTAGATCAGCTGCATGAAGATATATATTATTTACTTTAGAAACAAAAAAAAGCTTATTTGACAAATTTATATTGTAAATGTATTTTCTTTTTTTATTCAGATCATGGTGTTAAAATGGTCTGGGCAACCAAGTACAGTGCATAAAGTGGTAAAGCTGTTGCGTGTTTAAAAATACTTA